TGAAACCATACTTGGCATGTTCTTTCCGATGGAGCATAATTGCCATAAGCTTCGAAAAGCAATTTATGAGCTGCAGCTGCAGTTTTTTTCAAGTCAAAGTAATGAAGCAGCACATGTCGAAAAAACAACTTATCACGTTCCATATTTAATCAAAAGAAAAAATAGCACTGCTCGCTTAAATGAATCTCTTCGCACTGAATTTTATTGACAAATGTCTAACCTCTAAAATGCAGCCAGTTTCAGATGTCAAAATAAATTACACCTACAACTAACGTCATCTAACTGTGAGCCGCAGGAACTAAGTTTACCACCTAATAATTCAATTTGTTTAATTTGGGTTTTCTTGGATTTTTTAATTTTATTTTGTTGGATTAATCATTATAACATTTTGTTAAAAATGTAAAAGTAATTATCACTGGTTCACTACATTACATCAATATTCATCGCATATAGAATGTTGCATTGTTTCAATATCTTTCAACAAATTATTCAATAAACAACAAGTAAAAATTTTATAACTATTATTTGGTGTTTGCTAGGTATGTTATAATATACTGCACATTATAAGGATACATTATATAAGCATGAATTGTAAGAACATCGTTGGAGTCATCAGAGTCACCGCATGCGCGCTCGATCGTCAGGTTAAGCAACAGTTTAATGCGGTCAGGACATGGATGGGTGGTGACGACCAGTGGTATACCGCTTGGGATCGAAATTATCGCAGGAGGATTCACGAAAGTTTGGAATGTGTTGACAACCTTCGATATCTAGTAGTTTATGAGACATGAGAAAATTAGGAATATAAGTATATTTTTGTAAACATTATGATTTTCTCATTTTTCACCTTCGCATAATAATTCTCGGTATTTGATTACTATCAATATTTAACAGTGATTTAATTATCAGTATTCACCAGAAATTAAGTACTGGCCAAAAAATTACTGAATTACTGAATTACTGATAATATTCATCATAATCACTAATAATTTTTCAGTATTTCTTAGTATGATATTTCTATAAGGGTTATGTTCGTGGCATGTCTGAAATTGAAAAGAAAATTTTCCATTTTGTCCATTTCGTTTTCATAAAGATCAAATTACACTAGCGATTGGCAATTGACGCTTGAAGATTGGAACTGGACCAATTGGAACGAAGCAAACCAATCCTGAAGTTCGTTGATTCGGCAGAATTTAATCTTCAATCGTCAATCAGTGTAATGTGATCTTTATGAAAACGAAATGGACAAAATAGAAAACTTTTTTCAATTTAAGACACGCCACAAACGCAAGAAAAAATCTAAGAAAATTTTAATTTCTTCCATATAAAAGATTGAAGTTTTCTATACAATTTACATTATGAAAAAATTTCTCTACAATTTTGTGTTTCCGAATTACAAAGAGTTAAAGTAAAATTGAGCATTTTGAATCCGGTGCTCATGACTTCATTAAACTTCATTGCACAGCAATACAGAAAGTGGATTCTTAAACTTGAAACTTGGCTCTATCAAATGACATAAATGCCAATCTTGTAAAAAAGAATTATAATAAAATATCCATTTTAATATTTTTATTTTTATCCCTGTGTTTCCAAACTTATGGAGGGTACTGTAGTTATTTAAACTTTACTAAAAATCCAACTTTTAGGTAGTGAAGAATATCTTTTTATTATGTCGAAAACTCATTGAATTATATACTTAAAGTCTTATTTAAGTATGAAAGAAATGCAAAAGATTAAAACTCAATAATGAAAAATATTGTAATAATTTATATGTATAATCAAATTGTGTGCAATTCACAATTTATCTTTCAGACTATGAAAATATTTTTATCATTCTAAATATATTTTAGGTTAAAAAGTCTTTTGTTCATATATGTATATATATATATATATATTTATACACTTATTGTTGTCATTATTTTACTATGTGTGTTAAGTTTATACATACATATTTTATTTACACTGCAAGTGGTTCTGCACTTTATCAAACGTGATAAAACAGCGCGGCGTATGTCCCATCTCGCTCTTCCTTCCTGTTTTACCATCGAAATCTGACTTGTTTTTAATGTTTCAATTTTTTGACATTTATCCCTCGGGGACACGCGTGATGTTGATTACGTAGCAAAGCATTGTGAGAATAGAAAAAGTGGGGATTACTGGCAGTCCATACTTATATAGTCAAAGAGAAAGAAATATTTCTGTGAAGGATAATTGTAAGCAGAAAAGAGCATAGAAACTTCCAACCAATCAAAAATTACTAGACAGAGAAAGAAGCGATGCCTTTAGCAACCTATTTCTTTCTTTTCGTGCCCGGCTTCTAAGAGCCTCCGCACAAGAACATCCGTAATATGTCAAGTTTACGGATTTCTTTGTGCGTTGACTTAAGTTTAAGTTTACGTACAGATATGGCTATTGTATTATCAGTACTTAATGTAACGTAACATGTTACGGATGTGCTTGTACGTTGGCTCTAAGCATTGCAGTAAGCCTTCCAATATGTATATAGTTCACTGGCATGCATACATAGGATGCGCGAACGCATGACAAGAAAGTTGGGTCGAGCTGACTGCACTAAAGTGCAACTCAGCGCCACTTTTCTGGTATCTGCACAGATAGAAAGTATACTTCATAGACGTTATATTTGATGACCAATTTTTTATTTGTTCCTTGCATTATTATCGAGATCGGAGAGTCCACTTTTGTAGTTAGTCCCTTACAAATTCATAACACATTAAAATGTGGACTCAATACTCAATACCACACCCTCGTCGAATGTTCATTTAAATAATTTACTTTTTTATTTCGACCTTTTTTCCCAAAAGTCGCTCTGTACCGATCTGCGGACGTTTCTCTTGATTAAAAATATTGCAATTACTCGTAGCGATTCTGTATTTTGGTCACAATTTTTTTTCTACGTTTGCTTAGTTCGCGGCTCTCTACGAGATGTCTCTACTATAACTCCTGCAGACCCTTAACATACCAGTGGCAATTTATCATTTTTCAATACCATTATTAATTTAATTGGCTATTAATATCAGTGCAATAACTACAATCGTCAATAATTTAAATTTTGGATTTTTATAACGATTTGGAAATAATAAACATACAATTTATAGATTTTGTACATATACGAATGTTTATTCTTCCCCAAATGGTGTATAAATTGTCGCCAATTTTATGATTCTCATTCGACATTAATATGTTCAATACTTATGTTAACAAAAATATCCTGATTTTCTGAAATAAAAAATAATATACCAGAACATACATATAATACATAGCAGAAGGATGTTCTAATGTGTCATAGTTTATCCTATAATCACACTGATATAAAAACAAAAAAAGATCGCACAAAATTTAAAATGCAACTGAATAATTGAAATTTTATCTAAAATCGCAATGTATACTGGTCCCAAAAATAGTGATTATATCGCATAATACTAAAATACTTAATCATATAATTGCAATGAATATCGTGTCTAGTGTAAAAGGAATAATTATATGCAGAGTTATATGATAAGAAATTAAAATTACAAGCAAATCTCATTAAATGCCGATACAGGAATCTTCTTGTGGCGTCAAAAATAAGCTTCTCTATTCTTTCTTTTCCTTTATAACAATAATAAACTCTCGTGAGATGATTAACGACTTAGCATACGAAATCAAAGTTTAATCCCTTAATCGATAGACACGAGGCCTGCTCGTCCCTCACACATATTTTTAGTAACTGAAATCGTTCATCTCTTTCAATATTTTTACAATTATAAATTCGTACTTTTAGCAGGTATTTTTTTAAATTTACAATTGTCATTTGAAGCAAAAATTTTATCACGTCTCGTTAAAAAAATCTTGACTGTTTGTAGGTTAAAAGATCAAAGATCGAGCGGTACTGTCGTAACAAATGCTATTGTACAAAGTTTTAAATTCTTCGATTAATACCATAAAATTTTTTGTAAGTACGCATATATGTACATATACATATATATATATATATATATATATATATATATATATATATATATATATATAT